TTTTTTTTTTTTTTTTGAGACGGAGTCTACCTCTGTCACCGCCAGGGCTTGGAGGTGCAACGTGCGGTGATCTCGCTCACTGCAAGCTCCGCTCCGGGTTCCGCCGTTCTGCCGGGCGCCTCAGGCCTCCGAGTAGCGGGACTACAGCGCGCCGCCCAACCGTCGCACGGTAGTTGTTTGTATTTGTTAAAGGGTGTTCCACCGTGGTCTCGCCCGAGGATGGTCTCGATCTCTGACGCTGCTGGATCCCCCGTCTTCGGCCTTCCCAAGTGCTGGGATTGTACAGGTGTGAGCCAGCTGCGCGCGGCGCATGGTCATAGGTTTTATGAGTGTCTTTAGTTATCCTTATGGATTGCTTGTCATTAATGTAATCTCATTAAGTCCTTGAACTATTCTTTAGTTAGGTAGTTAATTGAATATTTACAGCTAAAGAAACTAAAGCCTGACAAAGGGGTTAAAGACATGGTTTCCTATTTGTCCAGTTAATAGCAAGCAGACCCAGGACCAGGGCTACTTCTCAGATCAGTATTTGGTATAGAAAAAGGTAACTTTTTGATCTAGGATTGTTTCTTTCTGAAGGAACAATTTTTTGTTGCCTTAAGCAGTACAAGACCAAGGAGGGAAGGTCTGTAAAAGAATTAACATTTAAGTTGAAAAAAATCGAAAATTAACTGTGACAATTTTCTCAGAAAAAAGAAAAAAAAAAAAAAATTTATTCTACCATCTATTACATGCCTGTCAGTTAATAACCTGAAGTGGTACTAAAAATAATTTGCCAATCAAAGAACAGAAGAGGAATGGAATCTGCTATTTTGCCACACGGTTTTTTCCCTCCCAATATTATTGGTTTTAACAACAAAAACAATAGACCACCCAATACCTAAAGTACGGACTCGCCGCAATATTTCTCCGTGGTTTTTTACCTTTTGTCTCCGTTGCTTCTCATCTTTTTGTTCTTGATTTAGTGTTGTGTGTTTTGTTTGTTATTCCACTTCAGAGTATGAGGAATGTCTTCTTTTTTTGTTAAGGCCTCAGTCGATGGATGGTTCGTAGGGCTTCGTCTGGCAGAGAGCATCCGCTATTTTTTTGCCGACAGGAATCCTCGCCTTGGCGTACCACAATGGAAATGCAGGAAGTCGGAATGAGCCAGCAGTGTTCGTAATTCCTCTGGGCGTGATATTCTAGAGAGGGTCTGCAGGCTTCTCACAATCAGGTTTGTGTGGTGATGTGGCGAATGTCTTATATCCGAGTCCAGATTTATAAATAAATGTATGTGTTGTTGCAGAAGTAGTGACTTCATGGAAAAATTATATTGTGTGTGTTGTGCATTACATATTTATGTGTGTGAAGGGACACTGGAAATAACCATGCAAAGTGAGTCGGTAATAACAACTGATCTGGGAAATCGCGTATAGATGGTAGTTATCCCTGTGTGTATTTATTATGTTGTTTTGTGTCTGAATTTCTATTCAAATTCTTTGTTCCTTCATTTCCAGTTTGGAAATTACGATGGGAACAGGAGATAAGGTTATAGCACCAGTAAGAAAACAATCTGACAGAAATTGAGAATGTGGTTTATTTTGTTATCTTTGGTGATGAGCTTAGAGTTCACATTCTATAAGACAATTGGTTTGATTCTATTCCCTGAAGTCATTTGATGTAAAAAAGATGGTGGGGGATCTTAGATGTAAAACGACTACTAGTGATATGATAACTAAATGCATATGGCATTGTACACTGAATGAACCCGGATGTTAACAAGAGATATTTAAAAAGCTAATACAAAAGGTCTGTGCCTAAACTCATTTTTTTTTTTTTGCATGGTGATGTCCAGCGTTCCAGCACGTTGTGAAAAAAAAAAAGCTATGATACAGTTAATTGATGTTAGTCATGAAATAAAGATTATGGTTCTTAATTTCATTCAACAGATTTCAACCCGTGTTAAACATAAGCGATTTCTGAAATATTATAACATTTTTCTGGATATTGCAGCCTTGCACTCAGGTCTTAGAGGGTTAATTCCATGCCCTCTCTGCAGGTATTGGCTCTTCTGGCAAGGGGCTACTTTTCAATGACTCAAGCCTACTTGATGGAGCTTGGAGAGGTGATTTGCAAGTGCATGGGGGAAGCAGATCCATCCATTCAGCTTCATGGAGCAAAGGTAATTTTCATCAAAACCACAATGCTTTTTCCTTCTCATCACTTTATATCCCTCCTTTTCTTCACTTTACATTCTTCTGCCACATGTCCTTCAATTCTGAGATTTCTTAAAGAGATTTCAAGTGAGGAAGACTATACATTCTTCTGTTTTCAGCTGTTACATGTAAACCCCAAGAATTGATTTGGTAACAAATGAATAAGATATAGCTGTTGATTTCAGTCCTTGAAAGAATGCCTCTGTTAAGAGTGACTGAAAAAAGGAAGAAAATTAGTTGCAAATTATGTTTCTCCTTGATTTGAGGTGATCTCCAAACTAAAGTGAAGTTGTTTGTTAGTCCTAATACTCTGCTTTGGTAATTCTTTTTTCTTGGCAGCTTCTGGAAGAACTGGGCACAGGCTTAATACAGCAGTATAAACCGGATTCTACTGTAGCAGCTGATCAGAGAGTGCCAGTCTTCTTGGTAAATAAATGTCAATTCATAGTTTTCTTTTATTAGTGCTTCAGTTGCAGTTTTATTTTGAAGCTCAGTGATAAGTGGAGTAGATGATACGGTTTCTTCCAGTGTCAAAAATTGTGTTTTATAATCCAGGAAAACATGAAACTAGTATAAATGGGTTTTATTTTACATTTCAGTTTATTTGCAATTTAGTATGTGGTAGGCTTGTGTATAACATATAACCAGCAATAGTAAAACTAATATTTCTTTTGCATAAAACCCAGTCTGGTTACTCAGCCTGCCCAAGAGACAAAGAGCCAGGAATTTTGTATCCAAAGCCATGGGATCAAATTTAGGGAACATGATTGTATTAGTCCATTTTATGTTGCTATAAAGGAATACCTGAGGCTGGGCAATTTATAAAGAAAAGACGTTTATCTGGCTCACAGTTCTGCAGGCTATATAAAAAGCATGATGCCAGCATCCACCTCTGATGAAGCCCCAGGAAGCTTTTAATCCTGGTGGAAGGCAAAGGGGGAGCAGGCATGTCATATGGCAAGAGAGTAAGCAAGAGGGAGATGCCAGGCTCTTTTAAACAACCAGCTGTCATAGAGTGAGAGCTCACTCATTTCCACAAGGACAGCACCAAGCCATTCAAGAGGGATCCGCCCCCATGACCCAAACACTTCCTATTAGACCCACCTCCAGTGTTGGAGGTTACATTTCAGCATGAGGTTTGGAGGAGGCACACATCCAAACCATATCATTCTGCCCCTGACCCCCGCAAATCTCATGTTCCTCTCATTGCAAAATACAGTCATCTCTTCCCAATAGTTCCTCAAAGTCTTAACTCTTTCCAGCATGAACTCAAAAGTCCAAAGTCTTAGCTGTGACTCAAGGTAAGTTCCTTCCACCTATGAGCCTGTAAGATCCAAAACAAGTTATTGATTTTTAAGATACAGTGGTGTACAGGCATTGGGTAGACACTCCCATTCCAACAGGGAGAAATCAGCCAAAAGAAAGGGGCAACGAGCCCCACACAAATCCGAAACCCAGCAGGACAGACACTAAACCTTAAAGCTCCAAAACAGTCCTTTGACTCCACGTCCCGCATCCAGTGCGCACTGGTGCAAGGGGTGGGCCTCCAAGTCTTCTGGCAGCCTTGCCCTTGTGGCTTTGCTGGGTGTAGGCCGTGACCATTCCCAGAGTTCCCCTGAGCGGTGCTCAGTTGGAGACACTGTTTGGGGGCTCCAACCCCATATCTCTCTTTGGCACTGCCCTAGTAGAAGCTCTCAGTGGGGGCTCTGTCCCTGTGGCAGGCTTCTGCGTGGGCACCCAGGCTTAGGGAATCCTCTGAAATCTAGGTAGAAGCTCCCAAGCCTTCTTCACATTTGCATTCTGTGCATCTGCAGGCTTAACACCACATGGAGACCGCTAAGGCTTACAGCTTGTACCCACTAAGCAGAAAACCAAGCAGTATCTGGGGCCCTGTGAGCCAAGGCTGGGGATGCTGGGAGCAGTGTCTCAAGGCTCTGCAGAGCAGTGGGGCCCTGGGCGTGGCCCCCAAAACCACTTTCCTCCTAGACCTCTGGGTGTGTGATGGGAGGGGTTGCCTCAAAGATTTCTAGAATGCCCTCAAGGCTGTTTGCCCATAGTCTTGGCTATTAGCACCTGGCTCCCTTTTAGTCGTGCTAATCTGTCTAGCAAGTAGTTGCTCAGAGCTTGGATTCCTTCTCCAGTACAGGGCCAGGGTGCAAATTTTCCACATTTTTATGCTGTTAACCTTTTAATGGTAACTTCCAACTCTAAGTCATTCCTTCGCTCCTACATCCGACTATAGGTTGTGAGAAGCTGCCACATCACCTGTTGAATGATGCTTAGAATTTCTTTCACCAGATACCCTAAGTCATTACCCTTAAGTTCAACTTTATGCAAATCCCTAGGACATGGGCATAATGCAGCCAAGTTGTTTGCTAAGGTGTAACACAGGTGACCTTTCTTCCAGTTCTCCCAACTTTTTTATTTCTATCTGAGGCCCCCTCAGCCTGGCTTTCACTCTCCATATTTCTATCAGCGCTTTGGTCACAAGCATCTAATCAGTCTCTGAGAAGTTCTAAACTTTCCTTTGTCTTCCTATCTTCTGAGCCTTCCAAACTCTTTCAACCTCTGCCCAGTACCAAGTTCCAAAAGTTGCTTCCACATTTCTAGGTATCTTTATACCAACACCCCATTCCTTGGTACCAATTTTCTGTATTAGTCTCTTTTCTGCTGTGTAAAGAAATACCTTAGACTGGGCCGGGCGCGGTGGCTCAAGCCTGTAATCCCAGCACTTTGGGAGGCCGAGGCGGGTGGATCACGAGGTCAGGAGATCGAGACTATCCTGGCTAACATGGTGAAACCCTGTCTCTACTAAAAATACAAAAAACTAGCCGGGCGTGGTGGAGGGCGCCTGTAGTCTCAGCTACTTGGGAGGCTGAGGCGGGAGAATGGCGTAAACCCGGGAGGCGGAGCTTGCAGTGAGCCGAGATCACGCCACTGCACTCCAGCCTGGGTGACAGAGTAAGACTCCGTCTCAAAAAAAAAAAAGAAATACCTTAGACTGGACAATTTATTTTTCAAAGAGGTTTATCTGGCTCATAGTTCTGCAGGCTATACAAGAAGCATGGCGCCAGCATCTACTTCTGGGGAGGCCTCCAGAAGCTTCCAGTCATGGTGGAAGGCGAAAGGGGAGCAGGCATGTCACATGGCAAGAGAGGAGGCAAGAGAGAGATGCCAGGCTCTTTTAAACAATTAGCTCTCGTTTGAATATCAGAGTAAGAACTCACTTATTACCACAGGGATAGCACCAAGCCATTCAGTAGAGATCTGCCCACATCACCCAAAAACCTTCCTCTAGGCCCACCTCCAACATGGGAGGTCACATGTCAACATGAGATTTGGAGGGGACACACGTCCAAACCATATCAGCCACTTAATGGATATGTGGTTATAGGCATAGTTTCCTAGTTGTAAAAAGGAATAATAAATCATAACCCCTCAGTCACAAGGCTGTTGAAAAATCGAATGACATGTAAAGATGCTAACACATAGGAGGTAATTCTGGTACCCGTGACCTCCCTGCCCCCCACCAGCCCCACCATGTTTCTATTAAATTCCTGTGATTTCAGGTTGTTTCTGCTACCCCCACACTGTGCCAGTTCCAAAGATGGATGAAGGGCACGTGACCACACCAGAAAAGGCTTCTACTTAGTGCTAAAGCCAAATCAGCTCAGTGCTGGTGGTCTTTGCTCCCTCTGCCCTCCACATGCTGCCTGTTCTTTTCTTCTTTTCCGTTCACAGTTTCTGCCATCTTTGCAATGAGTTAAAGATTCTAACCCTAGTCCCTGCCTTAGACTGCCACTAAAGCTTCCATGTAACATATGCAGGGAGGTGAGCTGAGCTTTGTTATCAGACAGAACTAGGTTTGAATTCAAACTTTTCCCTTTGCTAGATAAATAACTTTAGGCAAGCCTCTTAACTGTTCACACTCAGGTATTGTTCATCTGTGGGGAAAAAAAAGACATGTTTTCTATATTGCTTGTCTATTAGTGAGTAATAAATTAAACATTTAGCAGCTTAAAGCAATGTACGTTTATTTCCTCACAGTTTCTGTGGGTCAGGAATTAGCTTGACTGAGTGATTCTGGCTTAGTTCTCACATGAGGTTGGGATCAAGATGCCCCCAGGGTTGCAGTCAACTGATGGGTTGCAAGACTTGATGGGGTTGGAGGATTTTCTTCCAGGGTGGCTCACCCATAGACCTAGCAAATTAGTGTTGGCTGCTGGCAGAACCTCAACTCATTTCCTCCCCGTGAGGACGTCTCCAGAGGGCTGCTTGAGTATCCTCTTGATGTGGCAGCCAGCTTCCTTCACAGCAGGTGATCCAAGGGAAAGAAAGCAAGACAGCTGTGGTGCTTTTTATGAGCTAGCTTTGGAGGTTTCATGCCGTCTTTTCCACAACATCCTATTGGTTACGCAGGTCAGCCTGTTCAGTATGGGAGGGGACTACACAAGGGTGTAAATATTAGTAGGTGAGTGTAATTGTGTGCCATCCTGGAGACTGGCAACCACTTTTTGTCCACATTCTTCTAGAGTGGGGTAGGGAGGGCCCAGACTGGGTTTCCAGGAGCTGAAGTAGGAGAAAGACAGAACTGGTGCGTGAAATACACAGCAAAACCCTGGACTAGGTCCATGGGACAGAAACAAAACATACCAAAACTATAGAGATTCGCAAATGAACATGAAATCACAGGATATGTATAAAGCATGGAAAGGAAACTGTTCACATGGCTACTTTAGAGGCTGTGAAGTGAGATAGTTCAGTGCTGAAACAGAACCTACTGCCCAGTTTAAGAGTGTCCACTGTGTATCAGACCCTGCGCTAGAAACCTTACACAGAGCATTGCATTTTATTATCACACAGACTCTGCAAAGTAGTTGAAAAAGCCCTAGCCGAGTGTCAACTGATCTGGATTCTAGTTCACCCCTGCTGCTGATTAGCAGTTGTATTGTCTCTTTGTGCCTCAGTTTCCTTCTGTGAAAAAGCAGGGATAATGCTACAGACCCCATTTATTTGTGCCAAGGAATAACATGAGTTGATACGTGTAAAATACTTACAGCAATGGCTTGCATAGGATGAGCTCTCTGAAGAACATTAGCTGTCGCTGCTGTTGCTGTTACTGTCATCACCGTCTTCAGCCTCCTCTTGATTATTATCACTGTTGTTGCATAACTTTATCAGACCACAGTCCCTAATCAATAGGAGTTGAAAGGAAGGCTTAAACACTGCAATTGTTTTCTAAAGTCCTTTCCATCACTGTGGAAGAAGAGCCCATGAAAACATTTATAGAAAGCTGCTACGTTAAGGAAAAATGTTTCACTACTAAGGCCATTTCTGGTAGGCTTAGCTCCGAGTTGGTTCTCCTGCTATGTCTTGGGCTGCAGCTTTTCCTTTGCCTCTGTTCCAGGTGGTGATGTTCTGGACTATGATGCTGAATGGTCCTTTACCCAGAGCCCTGCAGAATTCGGAGCACCCAACTCTCCAGGCGAGCGCCTGTGACGCCCTGTCTTCCATCTTGCCAGAGGCCTTCAGCAGTCTGCCGGTAATGTCAGGGTGTTTTCTCACCCTTAAATCATGGCTGCAGCACCAGAGCTAGAATTTGATGCTGTTGCATTTTGAACCAGTATTCAGCATCATCTCTGATGAAAAGGTGCTAATTCTACTTGAGTTGGGGATGAGAGCACTGAGGAACAGCAAATAGGAAAACTTGAAGCCTTAGTATATCAGGAAAGCTGTTTCCCCCATGCGTTAGAATGTAGGTGGTAGAGGCAAGGGTAGCAGAAGCTTGGAAAGCAGGGAGATTTCAGGAAGATTTCGTATCCAAACTTTGAAAGGCCTGAGTTAAAGCCCAGCTCTTCGACTTGCTAGCTCTTTGACTCTTAGCCTCTCTAAAACGTGATACTATCATCAATTAGATGGCAGTCATGTGACAAATAACAAAGTATGTGAAAACACAGATTCGTTGTCCAACACATATAGTATTTGTCTTAGTCTGTTTGAGCTGCTGTCATAAAATACATAAATTGGGTGTCTTCTAAACAACAGAAATGTATTTCTCTTAGTTCTGGAGGCTGGAATTAAGATCAAGTCACTGACAGATTTGGTGCCTCAAGGAGGGCTCACTCTCTGGCTCACAGGTGGCACCATGTGAGCCGTGTCCTCATGTGATGGAAGGGGCAAGGCAGCTCTCTGGGGCCTCAGTCATAAGGGCACTCATCTCTTTCTTGAGGGCTCTGTTCCCATGACCTGATCTCCTCCCCAAAGCCCCACCTCCTGATACCATCACCCTGGGAGTGAAGATTTCAACATAGGAATTTTGAGGGAGCATAAACATTCAGAATACTGCTATTCAGAATAGCGGTCTTCAGACTGCTCTTTTTCTTTAGTCCTCAGTGACATTTGCATCCGTTCTTATTTATATAAATGAGCTTCTATAAAGAAGGCAACTTTAATAAAGGTTAAATGTGATGAGATGCTGTGTGTGTCTTGCACAAAGTGGGTGCTCAGATAATCATGGAATCTGCATTGAACCTGCTCTTTACCAGGGTAACCTCAAGGTCGCACTGGTATTCAACTCTTGAATATGGTCTCAGACACAGATATTTCACATCTTTTATGGAAGCCTTTGGCTCGTAGTTATTTCATTCTCATTTTTCCCTTGTCAACCTTCTCATTGCAGAATGACAGGCAGATCCTGTGCATCACAGTGCTGCTCGGACTCAATGACAGCAAGAATCGCTTAGTGAAAGCTGCAACCTCACGGGCCCTGGGAGTCTATGTGCTTTTTCCCTGTCTCAGACAGGTCAGAGTGAGCCTATTTAGCTCTTCTGTGCCCCTTTATTGTCCATGACACCCCTATTTTGTGGATATAGAGCTCCTGCATTGGACAGTAAAGGAAACTAAATTGCTTTGTAATCTGATTTCCTTAATTGCTACTAAAATACAGTCATGGGCCAGGCATGGTGGCTCATGCCTGTAATCCCAGCACTTTGGGAGGCCGAGGCAGGTGGATTGCTTGAGCTCAGGAGTTTGAGACCAGCCTGGGCAACTTGGCGAAACTGTCTCTACAAAAATTAAAAAATTAGCCAGGCATTTGGTGTATGCGCCTGTAGTCCCCAAGCTACTTGGAGGCTGGAGATGGGAGCGCTGCACTTGACCTGGGAGGGAAGGTTTATGAGCAGAGATCACACCCGCACTCAGCCTGGTGGCAGAGCCGAACAACACACACACACAACACACACACACAACACTCTCTATATATAATATACATAAATATAGTTGTATATTAACTACAGGCATTACCATACATAGATCATATATATACAATGAACTGAGGCATTACCATATATAAATATGGGTATTTATTTTAATTTTTAATTGTTAGCACACTGCCTGGGATTAGGTGCACCCAATAAATCTAAATGAATGAATGATATATAAAAACTGAAATGGGACACATTACCCAGGAGTAAGTCATCATTTACGAAAGCTGAGACAGGCGGGCGTCGGTGGCTCCAGAGCCTGTAATCCCAAGCACTTTGGGAGGCGAGAGGGCGTATCACTGAGTCAGCGAAGATCGAGACATCCTGGCTAACACAGTGAAACCCCATCTCTTCTTAAAAAAATACCCCAAAAAACATAGCCGGCGCGAGTGGCGGGCGCCTGTATCCAGCTCACTCGGGCACGGCTGAGGCAGGAGAATGGCGCGTGAAACCGCAGGAGGCGGAGCTGCAGTGATGCCATCCGGCCACTGCACTCAGCCTGGGCGACAGAGCCAGACTCCTCTCAAAACAAAAAAAAAAAAAAAAAAAGTTTTTCAACTCAAAAAGCAGACATAATGCTTTTCACTCTTACTTGTGACATTTATCTCACTGAGAGGTGTGTAGGATGTGTTTTGGAAATAAATGCATTTCTTTTTCAGAACATTATTTCCTGAAATGGAAATCAGCCAAGCACAGAGTTCACAGATAACTGTCCCAGGCCAGGTTATATATTCGATGTTCATAAGGGCAAAATCCATAGGCTTCTCGGGTGTCCATAGCACATACCAAAATCATAGGAGTTTCCCCTGGGATTTTTTTGAGTGTCCAAATTGTAAAATATAAGAAGAACAGTAAATTGATTGAGTAGATGAATTTTTATTTCCAAGTAGAAATTTGCGTGAAGGCTTATAGCTCTATCTGAAAATAAGTTTGAGAATTTCAAAGGTAGCAACTTGACCTGCTGAAGTAATGGCAGTGTTTTGTTTTGTCTTATAGGATGTCATATTTGTTGCAGACACAGCAAATGCAATATTGATGTCACTTGAAGACAAGTCTCTGAATGTTCGAGCCAAAGCAGCCTGGTCCCTGGGCAACCTGACAGACACGCTGATTGTCAACATGTAGGTGACTTACCTTGCTTTCCCCAGCTGACTTCTGAGACTGAGGGCCCAAGAGAATGTCCTCGATCCCTACCATGAAAGAATCAACAGTAGTTCCTGCTTATTATCCCGCTTCCTGCTTTGTTTTTTTTTTTAATATTCTTTCAGAAAATAAAATAAGCTGTTCTTAATATATATTAGGAATCTATTAAGACATATATGTATTAAAAATACTGTATACCTATATAAGTATTATGTCCACATTATAGAAAACATAAAAGCAAAACCTTAGTAATGGTTACTGTACTTTTAAAATGCATTTTAAAAAATTTCTTAAAGTGGTATATTCACAGGCTAAAAAAAAGCCAAACAGTACAAAGCATCATTCAGTGTGCAGCCTGTCTTCTACCCTGACACCTTAGTTCCCCTCCCCAGAGGTAGCTGTTTGTTCATGTGCAAGTGTCCTGCTTTTCGTCACTGCACCATATAAGCGACATGTAATGTGTGTAAGCATTCTCTTTTATTATTGCCTTGTTAGAAACCCTTATTTATGATTACATAATTATCACTGTGTGATGATTAACCATTTTTCTATTTCTGAACATTTGTTTTAGGCTTTAGGCTTGTAGGTTTTTATATTCAGTGAATATTTTTGTGCACGAAATCTGCATTTTGAGATTTTTTTTTGGAGACATTCCTAAGTGGGGAACTATTGGGTCAAAATATATATACTGTAAGTTTCTTGATACAATCTAAGCAGATCTGTTAAACTGTTTTCCTAAACTGTTATGCTTATACTAAGTGAATATATTTCTATATGTATATATTTAAGTGATTTACCTTTTAACATGTGTTGCCTGCTTTGGGTGGAACAGGGAAACACCAGACCCAAGTTTCCAGGAAGAGTTCTCTGGTCTCCTGCTCTTGAAAATGTTGCGATCAGCTATAGAAGCATCCAAGGATAAAGACAAGGTAGACTCACGACAAAACCCAGTATCTCCCAAACAGATCCTTAATGTATTGTAGCTGCAGTGTGGTAGTTTAGTGTGGCTTGATGCTCCTCAGACTATCCCACCAAATGTACTCCTGTTCAAAGGAGACTGAGCGTGTGCTCAGCGTATAAACAGCCTATTCCACACATGTATGGTTTCTTTACTGTCTCCTGCCTCCCGAAAAATATCAGTGCCCATTGTAATACTACATGACATATTCAGATTCCTTTTAAATTAACTTTTTTTTATTCCCCCCCCCAAAAAAATTTTAAGTAGAATTGACAAGTCAGAAAAATGAGTAGCTCTTGGCTTTGAATATTACCTGTTAAACTAATAAGTTAAAAAAGCACAGGTCTGGGCTTTAGGTCAGACACACATGGATTCACGCCCTGGCTTGCCCTTTAGTAGCTGGGTGACTTTGGTATATTATGTAACTTCTCTGAAGGTCAGCTCCTCACCTGTAACATGGAAGTTATATACCTCACCGGATATGAAGATGCCTTATGTTAAAGCACCTAGCACAATACCTGACCCATACCATGTGCTCACTTTAATACTACTTCTGAAAATCTGGTAATCACCCAGGAAGCCCTGCCTCAGAGTAATTCAATCAGAAATTCTGAGGTTAGGGCCTGCAAATTGGTTTTAAAACAAAAGGAAAAACCTCCCCAAATGATTCTGGTAGACTGCAGAGGTTGAGACTCTAGTCTAGTAGAAGAGTATTGGACTGGAATTATGGAACCTAGCTTCTCCTCGTCATCTTGCTATCAGCCAGCCTTGTCCGTTGTCCCCGGTCCGTATACTCCATCTCAGTAAAACAAAGAAGATGGACCTCTCTGAGGTCCTCTCTAGCACTAAATAAAATAAATAAATAAATAATCAGAGAGAGGAGTTTTGTAGAACCTCACCTTTCTGATGGCTCAGGATGTTAACCAGGGCAGACCTTGTGAGTTCCAAGGACTTGCTTTAAGAAGTTGAAGACCTCCTGGGTTTTTTAAAAGCTGAAATTAGACTTTTGAAAACATCTCTTTGGCAAAACAGATTTCTAAAGCGTTTACATTTTTTTCTAGGTAAAGAGCAATGCAGTCCGGGCCCTTGGAAATTTGCTTCATTTTCTGCAACCCTCTCATATAGAAAAACCCACATTTGCAGAAATAATTGAGGAGTCTATCCAGGCCCTAATTTCTACTGTTCTAACAGAAGCTGCAATGAAAGTCCGATGGAACGCTTGTTATGCAATGGGAAATGTATTTACAAATCCTGCCCTTCCATTAGGTAAGAAAGTTTCCCTTCACTCCCTGGTGGAAAGCCTCTTGGGACAATACACACCAATCTACATTGTTGTTAAAGATGTTTGTCACATGTCATTTATCACAGTATGAGGAAAAAATGGAGACATACTGAAAACAAGTTTAGGAGAACATTGAAATACATCATTACCCATATAATGGGATATATCATTTTGTTGCCATTTAATATTTTGTTGCCATTTAAAATTACTTACAAGAATTTTATAATCTGGAAAAATACTTCTGATGTTAAACAAATGAAAGCAGGTATTAAATCATTTCTACAGAATGACCTCAATGGATGGGTAGAAAAAAGACTGAAAGGAAATTGGACAAATTATTAACAGTGATTGCCTCTGGTTGAGTAGGATTTTTTCTGTTTTCATTTTCTCAGTTGTCTACAATAAGCATATATTGTTTTAATGGTCAAGAAAAAAGGAAGGAAACAAAACTGGAATGAGAGGGGATATAAACTGGAAATCCCCTGTGAGCTGTGTACAGAAGTGGATGCCATTAATAAATGTAAGGAGGGCATCTGTCTCTAAGTAGCGGCATGCCATGCCCCTTGATATGTCATTCAGGACCAGTAGCTGCTTAGGTGTGTGGATCGGAGCCTCCAAACCTTGCTCACTTTGAATGCCAGTGTTCACTTTATTGCATCTCTCTCTCTCTCTCTCAGAAGATTTGAGACCTAAGGATGTGTTCCCGGAGAGGAGCTCATGCATCAAGTGAGGGAAGTCTGGCTCTGCTCCGCTTTATCGCCTAGAGCATCCAGGCCGACCAGTCAGCTGGGAGCAGGTGGAGAAGTAGCCTCCTGGCTTCTTCCACTGAGAAGTCACCTAAGGGTGACCTTTGGGGTTGGAGCTCATTGAGGTGGATGTCCGCCTTCTGGAGAGCCAAGAAGTCCTTGAAACGAGGGCACCTCAGTGGTGGTTGGCTCCTACCTGCCTTCCTGTATGGCCCTTGCCCTCAGCCTACTAGAGAGAGAAGTCGACCTGCATGACTTGGAGGGAAAGGGAAGTTCCAAACAGGCAGGAAGTTTGAGAACTAGAAAGCATCCAGTAGCAGAGCTATCAAGAGCCACATAAGAAAAGGGAGCCAGAAACTGATAAACAACTCTGACGGGTCAGATTGTGAGTGTCTTGTAGGTCTAGCAGTGGCCCATTGTCAATGGCAGTGGCATCCACCAAATGGAAAGGGCCTGCCTGCCTGTCTTCGGAGGCAACAGAGAAGCCGGGGAGGGCTGGGTGAGTTAAGAGAAGCTGCATTCTACTCTGTCACCCATCTTGAGGAGTAAGGACACCCCAAAATGGAGTGGGTAGCAGTAGCTCTGGTAAGGAGGAAAGCAGGCTGATTTCCTAGGGCCTACAGGTATAGAGAAAGAATAGAAATCTGGACATCTTATTCTTGAAACTGTACATTTTCTTTTTCTTTGCAATAAAATGCATGACTTGCTATGGCCAGAACAGTGTCTGGATGCTGTTGCAAGTGAGGAAATAATTCTTTTTGCCAGCATGAACAGCACTGCCACATGCAGTGTGTGCTTTGCACACAGCTCAGAAGGGCCCAACTGAGAGGACAGGTGGGGTTGCAGTTCAGTCCACGCTCTGCCCACGAAGCCATACCCCATGGGACAGAATCCTCCCAGAGAAGAAGCCTTTTTCTGAGTCACCAAAGGCCCTATATCGGGTAGCAGAGGCTCTAAGCATGTCACAGGCTGAGGTAGGGAAAGAGGGAGGTTTGGGGATTGGCACCTGGCCACTTACCTAGGATCCTACAGTCAGTCACCACCGTTGTCTCACAGGATGATTGTGAGAATGAAGTGAACACATAAAATGAGTGTTTTGGGCACTAGTGTTTATGCTGCCTTCCGCCCCTCTCCCTCTCACCCCACCTAGTTCTAAGCCTGCATTTGTTTTAGTGACTGTGGATTCTTTCTAGGGACAGCCCCATGGACCTCCCAGGCCTACAGTGCCCTGACATCGGTCGTGACATCATGCAAGAACTTCAAAGTGCGCATCAGATCTGCCGCTGCCCTTTCCGTCCCGGGGAAGAGAGAGCAGTATGGGTCTGTTGAACAGTATGCTCGGATCTGGAATGCATTGGTCACCGCCTTACAGAAGAGCGAAGACACCATAGACTTTTTGGAATTCAAGTACTGTGCCAGCCTACGGACCCAAATCTGCCAGGCACTGATTCACCTCTTGAGCTTGGCCAGTGCCTCGGACCTCCCTTGTATCAAAGAAATCCTTGAACTGAATGGGAATATGGTCCAGTCCTATATCGTACAGTTTTTAAAATCTGGAGCAGAGGGAGATGACACTGGAGCACCTCACAGTCCACAGGAAACAGACCAGATGGTCAGAATGGCCCTTAAGCACATGGGCAGCATCCAGGCACCAGCTGGAGACACAGCCAGAAGGACCATCATGGGCTTTTTAGAAGAGATCCTGGCCATTTGTTTTGAGTCATCTGGATCACAAGGGGCACTCCCAGGGTTAATGAATCAGTGAGGATCCCACCATACTTTCTAGGTGTCGAAGTTGGCAGTAGGAAGACCTGAGCTTGAGCGTAAGATCTGTGGGATTTCATCTTAGGGGCAGAAACAATCCATTCACTATTTATTTAGAATGACTTAGCAGCAATTTAAATTTTTACAGAGGGCTCAACCACCTTTGGAGTGGCTCCATGGCACTGGCCATGGTCAGGGTGGTTGGAACGTGTGACCTGTGCATCCAGGAGCCGAGGAGTCAGGTTATAATATGGGCTAAGCAGACAGGGGCTTTGAGGGCATTTAGTCTCAGAAAAAAAAAAGTAGAAGGATTTAGGAATTAGAATTTTATATATTGTTTTGTAGTTTTGTAATAAACTAGTGAAGAATTACGTGTCCACAATCTCCTGTTGTTACCAAGTTGTGTTTCTGGCAAGCTGCAAGCAGAGCTGCAGTGCAGCCGGTTTGTACTGGCACAGCTGCACGGGATGCAAGGAGACTGACAGTTCCTCACAGTGGATGAGGAGCTGCTGCTCTGAGCTGCTGGAGTGCCCGTGCTCCCCGGACCGCCTTCCCTGCCGCATCTCCCCACAATCCAATAACCAGAGTTAACTCCCAGCAAGCAGGGCCCTCTAACCTAGGCCACAACATCGACCTCAACCTCAATTTCCTGATGCCCTTTAGGAGAATGTGATCCCACACACGAAATTTATAGTTTTGCCATCTCTTAATTTGTGCCTTTAAGAAAAGATCATTTGATTAATCTAGTTGGTTACAAAGAGGGGTTTCCAATTATATTTTGGTAATGCCCCAAAAGTTATGAAAGTAATTTCTACTGAATATGTATAGTTAAATTTTGCATTTCTCTATTGAGCACCGACAATTTATTGGAATTGATTTCAATTAGAAATTTAGGGATATATAAGAACCAATTAAAGCCCATACTTAACGTGATGTGGGACAATTAAGAAGATACAAAAAATGGGTTTTGGTGATATTTAATCACGGTTATTTAGCTTAACATACACGTGTAAAGGCATGTGTCTTCTGTTTTTCTCCTTTGCCTTTTAGCTGCACTTTTCCTGCCTCTGACATATTGGCAGCTCAGGAACTGCTCTCTGGGCAGTGACTGGGGAACAGGGTATTCAAGTTCACTAAAGGCTCAATTTTCCATTGATAGAGTATCAGTGTCCACAGACTTAAGACTGCAAGCACAGCAAAGACACCCATAATGAATGGTCCTTTAAACTGCTTTTCTTTAGAGACGATTCTGAACATAAAGTGTTATAGAGGGCCCGGGAAACTAAGCTGAGCCCACTTGACCCTGTGACGCATCTTGGAACTTCCTTCTCTTGAATACATTCTTAGTAGTAGCTTCTTGGCTTTTCAAAAAAGGAAAAATATGGCATATGTAGCTTATTACTGTGGTTCTTTTGAGTTTTCTCAGGTGAGTTTTTTGATAAAATATTTGCGAAGTGGCCTCATGGTTTCATTTGATGATTCACTCTTGTCCTTTCCTTATCTTGAATAAAATCCCATTCATTTTCTTTTTAAAACTTTAGCTTCTATAAAGGTTTCCAGATCCTGATGTGGATGTTCATGTTCATGTGCACAAAAAGAACCAAGGCATAGCACCTCTAGAAATTTCAGAGGGCAGTGGTACCTGCTGTGTGCCGACAGTACGCTGATTGTCTTCTCTGCAGCGCTGTGAGTGGACGCACACCCGAGGACAGACGCTCCTCAGATGCCTGGGCACGCGCCTCCATAGAGCTGCTGTGGGGAAAGGAAGCCACAGACAATAAAGACACCTGAAGCTGGTGAAAATCAGCAGACAGCCCCACTGATGCAGATTTCTAATGCAGAATACCAGATTCTAAATTATCTTTTGACACTTAAAACTTGGGAGGAAGAGTCATCCAGGCACAGATGGCTAGGGCCCTTGTCCACTAGACTACAGCATTAAGAGACATTGCTTATCTTACTCTTTGAACCTTTTCTGTGACCAGTAAAAAAAAACACACACACACATTAATTCCTACCCCCTTCCAGAACTCAAGAAAAGCACCTCTTCTGAGGTAGGGTGCTGTGGCTCATATCTGTAATCCCAGTAGGCCAAGGCGGGAGGATCACTTGAACCCTAGGAATTCTAGACCAACCCGGGCAATATAGCGAAATCCTGTGTTTGCTATCTCTTTTCTCCCCACACCAGCCCCCAGGCAATGTCACTGCGGCAGTGGCAGCCAGGCAGGTGCCTAGAGCTTCAAGGGAAGGAAACTCGTCTCTCTGCCAGGGGAAGAATGGTCCCAACAGCAAGGGAGCCATGCCCATGGCTTTTTTTTCTCTACACATCCTTCTATGCTTGGCCGTGAGGCAGACAGTCACAGAAACTAGGACAGAGCAGTACAGTTAAAACCTGACTTTCTAGCCGGAGGACCCAAAAGAGGGACCCCTGAGACTGGAAAGTGTTGAGATTCCAGAAAGGAGGGAAGGCAGGAAGGTAATACCCTCAAGTTGTATATGAACTTCTGGGTTCACGCCCCGGCTTTACATGTGTGGATCTGACCAAAGGCTTTGAGAACAGAACCGTGGGACAAACCACTGCCCAGTCTCGTACCAGCCACTGGGTGGCGCGCACACGGGGCGGATCTGAACAGCGTGGAAAAAGGCTCTGAAGCTTTATTGACATTGAACCACAACCCGCAGGAGGCAGGTAAGAACTTGTGAACCGAACCTAACCAGGATGATTGTCTGCTAAAGCAAAAACATAGGCTTCCAACATGGCCCAGAGTCTGATAACACAAAATTCAAATGTTCAAGATACTGTCCATAATTATTTGACATGCAGAAAACAGAGAGAACCTCAATTTCCTGAAGACACTCCTGGTATTCAAGGGATCTTCCCACCTCAACCTCCCGAATAGCTGGGATTACAGGCGCGCGCCACCACGCCCAGCTAATTTTGTATTTTTAGTAGAGACGGGACTTCTCCATGTTGGTCAAGCTGGTTTCTACATTTCACGTGAAGCACTAAATATATAATCCTAAATAGACTATAAAAACCTATGTGTTTTGTAATCCCTAAAGCAACTACATTTTCAACTTACACAAAAAGATATGATTAAAAAAATCAGTGAATTAAAATAGAATTCAAAAAAATTCAAATAATCCAAAGGAAGGCAGGAAAAGTCAAAACAGGAATGAAAAACACAGGGAAAAATAGAAAACAAATAGAAAAACAATAAAATAGTAAACATAAATCCAAACATACCAACGATTATATTAAATTTAAAAAGTTGAAATATGCTAATAAAAAGACAGATTGTTGAACGTAAAAAACTAACGAACAAAAAACCCAACACTCAACTATATATGTCTAAGAAGCTCATTTTAAGTAAATAGTATAGATTAAAAATGAAAGGACAAAAAAGAAAGATATACAAATACGAATCAGAAGAAATCTGGAGTAGTTATACACCATCAGACAAAACAGACTTCAGAGCAAGGAAATTTGCCAAGGATAGAGAGGGACATTACACAATGATAACAGGGTTAATTTTCAAAGGAAACATTAACAAGCCTAAGCATCTATGTACCTAACAACAGAGCTTCAAAATCCATGAGGGGAACCTGACAGAACCGAAAACAAATGGCAGATCAGCAATTATAGCTGGAGACCCCAACCTGCCTTTCTCAGTAATCCCTAGAACAAATAGATCACATTCTGGATCGTAAAACAATTTTTTTTTTTTTTTTTTGAGATGGAGTCTCGCTCTGTTGCCCAGGCTGGACTGCAGTGGCCGGATCTCAGCTCACTGCAAGCTCCGCCTCCCGGGTTTACGCCATTCTCCTGCCTCAGCCTCCCAAGTAGCTGGGACTACAGGCGCTCGCCACCTTGCCTGGCTAGATTTTTGTATTTTTTAGTAGAGACGGGGTTTCACCGTGTTAGCCAGGATGGTCTCGATCTCCTGACCTCATGATCCGCCCGTCTCGGCCTCCCAAAGTGCTGGGATTACAGGCTTGAGCCACCGCGCCCGGCCAATTTTTTTTTTTTTTTTTTTCCTTTTTAGATAGGGTCTTGCTCTGCTGCTCAGGCTAGAGTACATTAATGCAATCTCAGCTCACTGCAGCCCAACTTCTCGGGCACAAATGGTCCTCCCACCTCAGCCTCCCAAGTAGCTGGGACCACATGCTTGTGCCACCACACCTGGGTAATTTTTGTATTTTTGGTAGAGATGGGATTTTGCCATGTTGCCCAGGCTGGTCTCGAACTCCTGACCTCAAATGATCCACTCGCCTTGGCTTCCCAAAAGTGCTGGGATTACAAGCATGAGCCACCGCTCCAAGCCCGTAAAACAAATCTTAACAAATTTAAAAGAACTGAAATAATACAAAGCAAGGTCTCTGACCATAATAGAATTAAACCAGAGATAGATAACTGACAAAAATCTCTAAATACTTGGAGATTAAATAATATACTTCTAAGTAATCCATGGGTCAAAGGAGATAGTCTCAAAGGAAATGAGAATATTAGAAAATACTTTAAACTGAACAAAAACGAAAACACAATACATCCAAATGTGTAGATGCAGCTAAAGAAGAGCTTAGATGGAAATGTATAGCATTCGATGCTTATTTTAGAAAAGGAGGAAGGCTCAAATCAACGATCTAAACCTCAGCTTTAATAAACTAAAGAAAAAAAGGGCAAAATGAATCTAAAACAAGCAGAAGGAAGGAAATGTTGGTAAGTTAAAGAAGCTACTCTCAAAAGGTTACATATTTATGGATACATGACATTATGGAAAAGGCAAAGCTACAGGGACAAAAAACAAATCGGTTGGTGGCCAGGGATTGGGGTGAGGCAAGCATGCCACGACAGGGAAGCATGAAGCAGTTTTGTGGGGATGATCAAACTGTTCGGAATCCTGATTGGGGTGCGGCTACAACACTCATAGAACAGTATACCCCCAAACAGCCTTTTTATTAAAATAATACTCTCTCACCGTTTGGAATCCTGATTGGGGTGGGGTTACAACACTCATAGGGCGGTATACTCCCAAACAGTCTTTTTATTAAAATAATAGTCTCTCTCTCGCTCTCTGTCTCTCTCTCTGTCTCTCTCTCTCTCTCTCTCTCTCACACACACACACACACACACACACACAATCTCTTTCTCACCATGCAGATGTGTCTGTTCACCACTGCCAACAGTATGCCAGGTAATAATAAGACTAAATATGTTTTTTGGTTGAATTAAAGCCATTCATTCAAAATGAATCACTGGTGCCCGAAAGATGGGATCTAACTTCCGTTTAATTGTAATGGGAATAAGTAGCATTTATTGACTGTTTTTAAGTTGCCAAGTACTACGAAAGATTCAGATGCATTATTAAAATGCATTTATAACCCTTAGATCATTCTGATCTTTATAATGGCATATTTTGTAGCCATTTTTATTTCTTGAAATTTCAAGTCTTTTTGGTTCTTTTTGATTCTTTTGGCAAACTGATATTAAAAGTACAAGATCCCAAGTTGCACAGGTAAATAACAGCAATGTAGGAGGATGACCACCAGATGGAGACAGAGAACACAAAGTTATTCAGACGCAAGGTTTTGCCAGAGTTATATCCCAGGCTCAGGGGGCACACCACCTGGATATGAGGTTGCTCCCATAGGGATACTGGTTCTCAAACCTGGCTGCTCATTAAAGTCACTTGGGGACATTTACACTACTGATGAACAGCCCCCTTCACCCCACCCCTGAGTTTTGTGGTCTGCACTATGGTCTCGCCACTGAGAGTTTTAAAGGCTGCACAAGTGATTCTAGTTGCAGCCAAGTTTGAGAACCACTACTTTCAAACATGCAACAGCAGAGGGCCTCAAGCTGGTGTGTTTCAGAATCATCTGGGGAATTTGTGAAAAACAGAGACTCAGGCTGTTGTAGCCTTCATTCTTTTGAGAACCAGTGAATTCTAAAATGATGACATACTAAACTTACAATAGTTCAAAAGATAATCAGTACTGAATCTGATGCAAGGCCAGGTGTGGTGGCTCACACCTGTAATCCCAGCACTTTGGGAGGCCAAGGTGGGAGGATCGCTTGAATCCAGGAGTTCAAGACCAGCCTCATAAACACAGCAAGATCCCATCTCTACAAAAGAAAAATTAAAAAATTAGCTGGGCATGGTGGCACACACCCGTAGTCCCAGCTACTCGGAAGGCTGAGATGGGAGGATGGCTTGAGTCCAAGAAGTCAAGGCTACAGTGAGCTGAGATTGTGCCACTGCACCGAGCGTGGGTGACAGAGTGAGACCCTGTCTCAATAAACAGATAAATCAGATACAGTCTCATACTAGATTCTTTTCCAAACTGGGCCAGTGGGTTTCCTCTCCAGAGAAGTACGGGGCCATACATGCTCGCAGGTGCTGGAAGAGTTCCTGAAGCCATGTTTGGTTGTTCCATTTTGGGATGTTAAGCAAAAGGCCACTCAGCCCAGTGGATTCCCAGCCTTCATGTAATCTACTCCCCAAATTTGTTTTTACTCTCTTTTATCAAAGTGTTTAAATTATTTTATTTTAATTCTTAATCTTTTTTTTTTTTTTTTTTGGTAGAGATAGGGGACTCGCTATGTTGCCCAGGCTTGTCTCAAACTCCTGGCCTCAAGCCATCCTCCTGCTTTAGCCTCCCAAATTGCTGGGATGACAGCTGTGAGGCACTATGCCCAGAATAAATTATTTTAATATTACAGCCATTATAGATTAGGTTTCTAAATAACATTTGTTTTTCCATATCATAAAAGTAATGAGTCTTCATGGTGAAACATTTGGAAAACACAAAACAAGACACACATGTAAGAAAAAATTACCTATTCTCTTACCACCTGGAGATTTTGATATTTTTCATTTTGATATGTTTCATTACAGATTTTTTCATGGTATGTGTACATGTATGTATGGGTATATACTCTTAAATGTGTGCTTACACCTGCTCCAAATGTGTGTGTGTGCACGTGTGCACAATCCAATATACATCGTGGGGAATCTACAAAGTTGTGGTCATGGTGTGGAGCCAGCCCCACAGGCCTCCCCAGAGACAAGGCCCTGGACTGCCCCCAAGTCCTGCTGAAAAGGACATCTGTGGTGGTGGTAGGGCCACGATGCCATGAGCAACCACCTGGAGGCCCCGAGTACTCAGCGTGAACCAGGAAGTGGAGGGGAAGGGGAAGGGCGGAGTGAGAACCAGGAGGAATGCTTGCTCTTTTTTCCAAGCACAAGGGACCCTTTTCTCCACTGCAACTGACCTGATGCTTATGCCGGGAAGGAGGAGGGGCACACTCCGTCCTCCGGGTCCCTCAGGAGGAGAGAGGGAGCAAAGTGGGAGACTAGGGTCTGAGGTCTGAACCTGAGCCTGCACCAGCATCAGTTTCTGTGGCTGGGGGTTGGGGAGGGAGCAGGCAGCCGAGGGCCCTCACCCACTGCAGGGTCTTGTGGGTCATGTCTTCATCTGTGATCCTATAGGAAATGAGGGTTTTGTTCCACGCGGGGTTCACAGTGTTACGGAGAGTTTTGTTCTGAGCTTATTTGCCTGGAGAAAGGAAAAAATGATCTTATTAGCATCAAAGGGTGTGGTAGACAGAACAATGCCCCCAGAGATGGCCATGTCCTCATCTCCAAAGCTGTGAATATGTTATTGATATGCCAAGGGGAACTGAGCCTGCAGATGGAGTTAGGGTTGTTAATTAGCTGACTTTAAAATAGGGAGATTATCCTAGACTGTCTGAGTGGCCCAATGTGGTCACATGCTTCTTAAAAGCAGAAGAAAGAACAGAGAAGAGAGAGCGAGATGTCACCAAGGAAGGTGGTCAGGGAGATGCAACCGGGACGGCTGTGAAGATGGAGGAAGGGGCCACCAGCCAAGGAGGGCAGGCGACCTCTAGAAGCTGGAAAGAGCCAGGAAATGGGTGGAATCCCCAGGCTCCAGAAGGAACGCAGCCCTGCCAACACCTTGACATGAGCCCAGGGAGACCGCTGTTGGACTTCAAACCTGCAGAGCTGTGAGATAGTAAGTATGCTGCTCTAAGCCTCTAAGTTTGTGCTCATTTGCTGCAGCAGCCATAGGAGGCTCATCCAAGGAGGATCCCAGCTCCAGCCCCGATGCCCTGGGATGGGTTCTGCAGGACGCCTGGTGTGGAAATGAAGTCTCCTTCCGAGGGCATGCCCTGTCTCTGCAGACTGTCCCCTCTGCCTGGAACCCATCCTGTCCTTGGGCATGCTCGTGCAGTGACCTCTCTGAGCTGGAACATTGCCACAACTCCTTCTCCTGTGCCAGTGACTCTGAGCTCCGTGTCTGACTCAGTCTGATGCCCGCCACCCCGGCCCAGGCTTGGAGGTCAGGCAACCCGGGGTTGCAATTCCAGCTCTGTGGCAGCGTCAGGTTCCCCACCGTGGAAAGGACACAGGAATCCCTCTCTCGCACTGCTTTCAGGAGCTTGCCTGTAAGGAGACTGCTCTTTATAAAACACTGGGGAGAGTCCCGGGGACTTCCTACAACAGGCCCTGCCAGCTCCAGTCCCACGAGTTAGGGGCCACTGAGCCCCCGCGTTGGGCACACTTCTCTGGTTACACTCGCTCTTGGCTCTCACATCCCTGAGCTCCACTTGCAGCGTAAGGACATCGAGGCCTGGTGTGAGGAGCCATTTCTTCCCCAGGAGTAGGTGGTGGGGCACTGCCGTGTTTCCTACAGCCCTGCCTTCCCCAGAGAAGACGCAATGTTCCCCTCTGGGGTGGTCCTCCTGGACTGTGGTGGGCCCCAGGCATGCACATTTAGGGCCCCAAGTCAACTCAGACTCTGCCCTATGAAATTAAAAATAAAACAACACTGAAGTGTAGGATGCACAGAAGGAAGTAAGTCTAAGAAGTTCTGATTTTTCATGGCTCAAGATCACCTTGATGCTTTTATTTAATAGCATTTTTTTCTCTCTCCTCTCCTAGATGCATGTGTTGTGCTGGTGCCTTAAGTGCATTTGTGGTTGGCCTCTTGGCCCATCTCTCGTGGGAATGAGGATTCTGTGGTCAAATACATTGGGCAGATGCTGCCTACTTCATCCCCCTTACTGAGAGTCAGGGAACAGCCCATCAGCACATTAAAGGCTCTGGTAAGTCCTGCAGTAAAGAAACTGGTTTAATAATGTTTTCCAATGTGATCTGACCACAGTTCTTTGTTGGCACACCATAGTAACCTCCAGCTGAGAATGCTTCTTATAAAAAACCAGCCTGGAAATTCTCCAGGGCTTTCCCCAGATCAGCAGGTAGGTTATGCTGGAAGGCATCCCAGGTGTGGGACAGACTGGCTGCTCTGCATGGAGATGAATGGCTGAGGTCTCATCAGCTTGCTTGGGCTCTGAGGAGGAGTGGCATCTGTGGGCCTCCCTGGGTGCCCCCAGCCCAGTCCAGGCCCCATCGCCATGAGTGGTCACAGCTGGTGGGCAAGCCAGGGTGAAACTCCTTCACCTTCCTCCTGGCTCCTGGCTGCAGGTGCAGCTTGACACAGGGGTCTGACAGCCCATTGTGGTCCATGGGCTTCAGGTCCTGGGTAAAGAACAGCAAAGGGTGTGAACGGGAAGTCAAGGAGACGGAGCTGCCAGGGCCTGCAGGTGCCTGGGCCAGCAGATGCCTTTGTCCCCTGGATCTCCTGGCTGGGTCCATTTATGGCCTCTTTCACAGAAGCCCTTGGCCCCACACCTCCAGACAGAACGAGTGAGGGCGGCTCAGTGCCAGTGCAATCTCCCCTCCCCCAAAACATCCTGGCCCAGGGCAGGTGTCACGGGGCCTCTGTCAGGACAGACTTTCTCTCCTCATCATCCTGAAAGCCCGGTGACTGGCATTCCTCTGAGACCCCCTCCCCACCTCGCTTTGGTCAGGCCCTTCCCTGGTCCTGACTCCCCTCCCCCATCTTCCCAGCAGGGCCTCCTGAGAGGCCATGTCCCTCACTGGCCCTAAATCCACGGAACCCCAGGACACCATCCGAGACCAGGCACCATTGCTGGCCATATTTTTCACAACTCCCAGTCAGTTCACAGAGGTCACATAAGCTGACCGGCCACAGAGGGTTCGTCCACAAGACGGCACCCCTCACTCACTCTGCCTTCGCTTCCTTTAGAAAACCCAGCCAAGTGTGTACAGCCCGGGACACACAGATGGGCTCTTGTCAGCTCTCGCTCACCTCAGCAGGCTCTTGTTTCTGAAAATTGCATTTTTTTTTCTTCTGAGCTGGAGCACAGGGCTGTAGACAGGCAGTTGTGGCATCTGTGGGGCACAGCCGGTAACCCCAGAACATTATCCAAAGATGCACTGCAAGGCTTCCACCCAGCCAGGTCGGGGAGGCAGCGTGGCAGCTCACACCAGGCTCATCTCCAAGGGTAGGCTGTCTCCCTCCCAGGCCGACCCCACCTTGGTTTGGCAGAGCTCCGGGGCATCAGGGGGCTTCCAACCACCTACTACTCTGCCACTGGCAAAGGGCAGAAGTTTGGGGGTCGGCTGGCTTGCTTTCTGGGCTCAGCCCCTGTATTCACTAGTGATGAAGTGGATGAGTACTTTTCACCCTAAGCCTCAGCTTTATCATCATCTGCGCCTGAACCGGGCGCAGTGGCTCACACCTGTAATCCCAGCCCAGGAGCCCAGGAGTTCAAGACCAGCCTGGGCAACATAGTGAGACACCATCTCTATAAAAAATTTAAAAGTTAGCTGGCTGTCATGGCACATGCCTGTGGTCCCAGCTACTAGGGAGGCTGAGGCAGCATTGCTTGAACCTGAGAGGCAGAGGCTACAGTGAGCCATGATCATGCCACTGCACTCCAGTCTAGACAACAGACTGAAACCGTTTCCCAAAATTTAAAAGACAAAAAAGGGTAAGCATGTAGTAGTCCCATCTTCCCAGGGCTGGAGTGAGAAAGAGGGAGACGATGTGGACACAGGGCCTGGCAGGCAGAGCGTTTCCTCCCCTTCCCTGCATGCCAGGCCCCTGCAAGATGCCAGAGAAGTGGCTGAGGTCAGGTGGGCATATGTGAGCTGTGCCCAGC